GAAGTGGGTGACAGGGCAGGAGAAGGAGGTGCCTATGGCAATCTTGGCAATGCTTGTCAAGGACTCGGCGATTTTAAACAAGCCATAAAGTACCACGAGAAGCGTCTCAGCATTGCTAAAGAAGTGGGTGACAGGGCAGGAGAAGGCCGTGCCTATGCCAATCTCGGCAATGCTTATAACAGTCTCGGCGATTTTAGACAAGCCATAAAGTACCACGAGCAACATCTCAGCATTGCTAAAGAAGTGGGTGACAGGGCAGCAGAAGGAGGTGCCTATGCCAATCTCGGCAATGCTTGTCAAGGACTCGGCGATTTTAAACAAGCCATAAAGTACCACGAGCAAGATCTCAGCATTGCTAAAGAAGTGGGTGACAGGGCAGCAGAAGGAGGTGCCTATGGCAATCTTGGCAATTGTTATCACAGTCTTTCGAATTTCAGAAGAGCCATGGAATTCCAAGAGAAATATTTAAGCATTTCCAAAGAATTGGGAGACAGGAGCAGAGAAAGAGCAGCCTATTTACTCCGCGCTGGCATTCATTGCAGCCTCGGTGACTCGAGGAGAAGCATAGAGAACTGTCTAGAGAGTCTAAGGATTGCGGAAGAGATAGGAGACAAGAGTGGCAAAGGAAGAGCGTATTGTTGTCTAGGAAGAGCCCATCTGCGACTGCGTGATTTTAAACTAGCCAAGAAATACCTCAAGCTACACCTTAATGTTGCTAAACAAATCGGCGATATGTGTGGTGAAGGATGTGCATATCTTCATCTAGGTTGGAGCTGTGAATATTCAGGCTGTTTGCTGGAGGCTCTGGATTGTTATCAATGCAGTGTAAACGTTTTCAATGGCATAAGACTGCTTCTTGAGTTTGAAGATACCTGGAAAGTGAGCTTTCGTGATAAGAATCAAGGGGTGTACACCAGTCTGTTCAGACTTCTGTTGAAGCTTTCCAAGACTGACGAGGCTTTGAGTGCTGCTGAACAGGGACGAGCTCAAGCTTTAATGGATCTCATGGCATCAAATTATGACCTTGAATTACCTCTCCCTTCGTCTCTTGAACATAAAGAAATGATGTCAGACATAGCAAGCGATACATGTTCTCAAATAGTTTTCGTAGCACTTGAGGGTAAAAAGATCAACTTATGGGTACTCAGCAAAGGAAAAGATGCTCAGTTTAGACAAAACGACGTACCGCACAGAGATGCGTTTAGCTTTCTGACGAGATTAACCAAAGCTGCTTTCAAAGAAAACAAGTGTGGTCGTTCTTTGGAACTGCAAAGAGGTGATGATCTACAGCCTATCAAAGCCTCTTGCCAAACAGAGCAGTCATGCTGCCAGAACAATTCCTTGCAAGTTTTGTATCGTAGCATTTTCAGCCCCATCGCGAAGTTTCTAAAGGGTGATGAAATAATCATTGTCCCGGATGGTCCACTAGGCCTTGCTCCTTTTGCTACGTTTGTGGATGAAACTTCAAGATACCTCAGTGAATCTTTCAGGATCCGCATGATTCCGTCGCTGACAAGTTTGAAGCTGCTTGCTGATTGCCCTGATGACTACCACAGTGGGACTGGGGCACTTCTCGTGGGAGATCCATGTCTGGAGGAAATCACAAACATCTTTGGTCAACCCAAAATATCGCAGTTGCCATATGCCAAAAAGGAAGTAAAGATGATCGGCGAGATTCTTAACACCACTCCGCTCACGGGAAAAGAAGCAACTAAGGATGAGGTGCTGAAACGGATTGGTTCGGTTGCTTTGGTACACATTGCTGCACATGGAAAAGTGGGAAGTGGTGAAATTTTCTTAGCCCCTAACACGGAACGGAGGTACTCGGATCC